GTGAGAGTTTGATTGTGTAACGTAAATGGGGGTAACAGAGTGCTCGGTCGAAGGCTAGGGTTGATAAAGGGTCATGAGGATAGACTCCCATTAAATTCATAAATATTAAATACTAAATAAAAATTATCAAATAATCGACTCAGCAGTCGATTGGCCCCGTTGCACTGATCAGCAAGGAGTGATGTAGATCACAAACCTACATAATAGTCCCTGTTTGATTAAATTGTAAACTGGCCAGTTTGATAATTACGAACATCTTTGGGGAGTCTGGTGATCCAAAACAAATAAATAAAATCATCAAGGCTAGGTTTTCCCGAGACTTTGCAGTTTTAAAAATGAACAAACCGCCAATTTGAACGTTCAATCTTACAATCAACTCTCTCACTCTCTCTTTCAAAATATTGTTAAATTGTGCTCAAAAAAGGTTATTACATTGTTTATATTTGTAACTTGTATCACAGCTCAATTCGACTCATTATACAGTATTTTTACAAATCACCATCTTTTCATTATCCTGTGTTTCAGCTGTTAGTATCATTAGTATAAAACTGGTAAAGTAAAGAGGTAAATGGCTTAACTGAAAGAGGTATACAAAGTATTCACAATGAGTGTTGATGATCACATTTTGTAAATATATTTTGACAGTGCAATTTTTATAAGCTCAGTTCATAATATTTAATATTAAATTGGTGAATTCATGAGTAATCGGCTTAACCGAATCCAGTATATATAAACATCTTGAAGTCATACTTTTGATAAATATTTCCTGAACAAACAGTTTCACAAATATTTTCAATCAATATTTCAATATTATTATTTGCAATTTTACAGTTTTACAGAGTATCAATTCATATCACAATCTTTCATCAGAACAGCACATTTTATTTCATGGAGTGATCAAATAGACACATCTATTAGTTTTAAGAAGTGTTAGAATTAAGCTGAAGAAGGTGTGAAGGAGGACAACATATCAGACCTCTCACGGTCCATAAATCGGACTTCTGGGATATTTAATTACAGGGCCCACACTTAACATCTTTATTTCCACTGCGCAGCTCTGTGATTGTAATGTCCTCAGTAGTTCAATTAAAGTGTAAATTAAATTCATTAAAACCCCACCAGGGGGCAACTTTTTGTTATACTCACACCTGTATGAAATACCTAAATTGTATTACATAAAGGTGTGAGGTGATTTTGCTTGATGGAATGATCAATTAAGTATAGAGTATATTTTGAAGTAATAAGTAAGTAAAGAAGGTTTATTTTTTCTTTACAAAAAGTGGTAGCACTAATTTGAGAGGTCTGGTAACAAGGAAGCAGATTGGCATTACTACCATGGCAGGTTGGCATTGATAAGGGTATCAGTTGTTATCTCTAAGGCAATTATCCACATTGATATTTCTGTGTTTGTTTACTTGTTTATTTATTTGTGTCATATTCGTACAGAGATTATTTATATTTATATTTATATTTACATGTGCAATAATTTTCAATTTTGAGTAAATAGAGTCAAACTGAGGTCAATTGTTTTAAACATTTTCATAATTACATATTTTGAGAAACAATGAATCATCTGAGTCATGTTATGTAACCACTGTGAGCGACATGAAGGCTGGCCAACAGAGGTCACGTTCCAGCTGTGGTGGGGCGAGAGTAGAACCTACCCGCACAGACAGGCAGACATCGGGCCGTTCACCACAACAATGTCCCCCGCCCCCGCCCACTCCATCGGCAACAGCTGACTGTCGACTGCGCTACGGGTCAATGAACTGATTGTTGACATCTACTCAACGCTGAATGCTAGATAATTCTACAGTGTGTTAAGCGTGCGCGTTTACACCATTCAAATTGTTGATGGATTGATGCAGTTTTGGTTTATGACACAAGGTGTTAGTTGACAACAATTTTTAATTTCTCAGTACCGACCTCAAAGCAAATAGTTTATTATTGTTAAAGTTTCAGAGTTTATATTTTTGTTATTCAAATTTCAAATGTTTATGTGTAAAATTGTTTCCTGTTAAATGTATTAAATGTAAATCAATGAAAAAAAACAAAAAAAATGTGTCGTATGAATGAAGCGTCTGTTGCCACGTCAAGCGTCGTCGCGCCGGATCGAAATTGTCCCGGGATGGAAAAGGCCTTCGTGCGGACCTGAAGGTCGCTCGGGCCAATTTTTTGGCAGGGGAGATTTCTGTGCCGATTTTAAATTCAAAGATTTAAAATCCGCGACAGGCAATGGACAAGTCAGTCCAACATGACGTAACGCGGAAGGATACGAACTGAAGACCGTTGGGAGCCGTGCCGTGTGCAAACGTCTCCTCGTCACTCGTGGCTCAGTACTCGCGTAGTCAACATGTGAAGTCGCGTTTTGTCGCTGGTGTAGGACGAATTTATTAATATCTTAATTCGTAGCTCGGAAATTAGCGTTCGGGCGGAAATTGTACGTGCATCAAACGATCGCAATTGTCAAAATTTCGCCGAATTGCATTTGGGGGTGTGTTTTATTAGTATTAAGTCGAGACAGTTGAGATGCCGGATTGATTGTTCGCGTTCGTGATGAAAATTCGTACATGCATCATATCGACAGCAAATGTCAGTTTCTAGCGAATAGCGGGTCGTCGTGAAGGTATTTTCAATTGAATCATTAAACGCCAGCTCGAAAAAACAAGAATTAATAAGTCCTACACCAGAAAAAACCGTGTCGTGATATTCCGCTCGGTCAGACAAAAAGTCAAAATTACCACGAGTCAGTTTTTAAATGTTCGGTACGCGTGAATCTTCGTCGGAATGAATGTTAATGTGTCGACATGTGTACGTAAGTAAATGTTTGTGTTATTTGTGTTTTAGTATTAAAATAGTCTTGCCAATCTGCCACATTTTTTCACATGTACCACTCGTTTTACAAGTTATGAATCATGTTTTGTTTGGTCTGAGATTTTCATGTTTCATTTGGTCTACTTAGAGCACATGGTCACGATTCAGGATAAAATGTTTTATTAAATTTGGTCATGTCATACAAAGAATTTAAGTTATAATAGTGAACCTAGTCAAATGAAAATTATTTATTAAATTGAATTGAAATGGTATATTAATTTAAAGAGCAATGTTTATCTGTGATATTATTATTTTTGTATTCTATGTAAAGTCAGATTCTATCATCATCAGTATTATTATTTAAAACGTTTGAATTTCATGTGTAGAATAATTTTTGAACAGTATTACATTATTTAATAGTGAGAGTTTGATTGTGTAACGTAAATGGGGGTAACAGAGTGCTCGGTCGAAGGCTAGGGTTGATAAAGGGTCATGAGGATAGACTCCCATTAAATTCATAAATATTAAATACTAAATAAAAATTATCAAATAATCGACTCAGCAGTCGATTGGCCCCGTTGCACTGATCAGCAAGGAGTGATGTAGATCACAAACCTACATAATAGTCCCTGTTTGATTAAATTGTAAACTGGCCAGTTTGATAATTACGAACATCTTTGGGGAGTCTGGTGATCCAAAACAAATAAATAAAATCATCAAGGCTAGGTTTTCCCGAGACTTTGCAGTTTTAAAAATGAACAAACCGCCAATTTGAACGTTCAATCTTACAATCAACTCTCTCACTCTCTCTTTCAAAATATTGTTAAATTGTGCTCAAAAAAGGTTATTACATTGTTTATATTTGTAACTTGTATCACAGCTCAATTCGACTCATTATACAGTATTTTTACAAATCACCATCTTTTCATTATCCTGTGTTTCAGCTGTTAGTATCATTAGTATAAAACTGGTAAAGTAAAGAGGTAAATGGCTTAACTGAAAGAGGTATACAAAGTATTCACAATGAGTGTTGATGATCACATTTTGTAAATATATTTTGACAGTGCAATTTTTATAAGCTCAGTTCATAATATTTAATATTAAATTGGTGAATTCATGAGTAATCGGCTTAACCGAATCCAGTATATATAAACATCTTGAAGTCATACTTTTGATAAATATTTCCTGAACAAACAGTTTCACAAATATTTTCAATCAATATTTCAATATTATTATTTGCAATTTTACAGTTTTACAGAGTATCAATTCATATCACAATCTTTCATCAGAACAGCACATTTTATTTCATGGAGTGATCAAATAGACACATCTATTAGTTTTAAGAAGTGTTAGAATTAAGCTGAAGAAGGTGTGAAGGAGGACAACATATCAGACCTCTCACGGTCCATAAATCGGACTTCTGGGATATTTAATTACAGGGCCCACACTTAACATCTTTATTTCCACTGCGCAGCTCTGTGATTGTAATGTCCTCAGTAGTTCAATTAAAGTGTAAATTAAATTCATTAAAACCCCACCAGGGGGCAACTTTTTGTTATACTCACACCTGTATGAAATACCTAAATTGTATTACATAAAGGTGTGAGGTGATTTTGCTTGATGGAATGATCAATTAAGTATAGAGTATATTTTGAAGTAATAAGTAAGTAAAGAAGGTTTATTTTTTCTTTACAATTTTATTTTGTAAATTAAAGCACTTTTTCATTTCATTAATTTCCTTTGTTCATTCATTCATTGTTATGGATGTATAGTTCTGTTTGTTGTTAGGCTATAGTTCTGAGAAGAACTGACAATTTAAATTAATAAAATAATGTTTTTTCATCTTTAGGCATTGTTATTATTTTCTAGTAAAATAAATAATATTTCATAATGATCTAAGTAATCAAAGTTTAACTAAAAATCGCACTTTACCACCCTACCTGTAGCAGCAAAAGTAAGTATTCCTTGAATCTAATGTTATTTTAATTCACTATAAATTTTACATTTTTAAGCAAATTCCCTCAGTCTGCAGGTTTGCTGCGGCGGGGGTCTTTCAAAATCCAGCCTACCGGGCTTCTCCTGTTTAAGCCATGGTATCGAGGTTGTAATTTTAAATTAATTAAGACACAGATATCAATAATTAATTATTTCTCTTCACAAAGACCATAATCAAATAAAATACCAACCTCTGACTGCATGATTTGTAAGTCATTTTGAATGATGATGGGAAGTAGTATTCAGATGTTTGCACATGTTGTTCATGCATCGCCTCAGATAGAAGTCCTTGTATTGTTCTGGCAACAAGCTCAACAATTTCACAGCATTCTCTACATTTTGAAAAGCCTGAAATCACACACATTTTTTTCAGCATTTTTATTTCTTAACATTTTTTCATACGAGCATTTTTATTTTTTAACTTTTTTGAAAGGAGAATTAACTTATGGTAGTTTCTAGCTTCTGCATTGTTGCTGGGATATATTGGGTTTTAATACCACTTTGATTGTTTCTATCTGTTCAGTGATAGTAAATGTTGGTAAATTGGGTGATAAAAGTATCTACTGAGAAAGCTGATGAATTTTAAACTGTCTAACCTTTTAGAAGATATGAATGTTCCGTTTGGATTTCAATAGAGGCTTTAAATATTTAAACCACTAGGTTTTAAAAAAGATAAAATACAAATTTAGATTTATATAGACAGCTTTATTAAAGGTGGATACTGAATACTGGTGGCCTAGTTCTCCTGATTCTGATATGATAAACAGTACCAGGCCTACTTAAAGATATACGTGCAGGTTTCTAGAAAAAGGATCTTTTCCACCAATGACGTGGGAACTTTTAATGAATTCTTTATCAATGACTGTTTTGTTTTGCTTGGATCCATTTCAAATGTTTTTAACCCTTTCAGTGCTATGAAACGATATATCGTTGTTTAAAAAAAAAACCCTAAGGGATATAGAGAGGAAGGTTATTTTAACCTTAGGTTATTTTTTTAACGAAAATAGCAAAACGGCCATTGGTGACCTGCATGTTCATAGGATACACTACCAACCACTTAGCTAAAAGATTCGCCCAATCCGATGATTTCGAGGTTTATGTCTAAACCAAGGATTATGAACACCTCACTATGCCCCAGTGGTTGTAGTATATCGCTACAAACACACAGGTCACCAATTATTTGCCACACAGGACGGGATTCGAACCCGAGCAGACGAATGCCACTGGCCAAGTGACACACGCCCTAGCCTTCTCGGCTATCTGTGCTTGAAGACTGGGGAGTCAAAACCCGGTATTTAAGCTGTCGCCACCGATTGTGAACAGATGGCGCTGCAGATGGTTGTTCAATGCGTTACTAGGTAGCAGCACCAGCTAGTCACGGACTATTTAGATGCAATCTTTTAGTTTTAGTAGTAGTAAATGTGTTCCTGAGACTTTGCTGCAAAACATTAGTTTCCCTAAAATTGCTATATTACAATAACCTCGTCCAACTAAATCAGGGTTAAATTCAATATTACATTGTAAACTATATGTCTTTTGATTTTGTGAGATTTCGGTTTCAAATAATGCTATCAGAACATAAAAATTTATAGGAAAACCAGGAAAATTACAACAAAAACTAAGTTTTATTTGATGTTTACTACAAATACCGGGATTTATCTTTCTTATATATTTTTTTATTGTGTTATTATTCAAAATTAGCCTAATTAATAAAATAGTGACAACATGACAGTTAAAATTCAACAACGGGTAATGGAATCAAAAGGCAAACAAAAAAGTCTTACAAAATATGAATTATTGGCCTAGCACTGAAAGGGTTAACATGATACGCTGAAAATACAAGTTAACAAAGATAAACCGTATCGTCTGTACTTAGTGCATAAAAGGAACACAGGGTGTTGTGTGCAATCCCTATTGAACTAAGGCCGTTATTTCTCAAGCCGGATATGGTTTATTTAACTGACTAATCACACCCACAACACCACACAATAGTAAACTTAATATGGATTGCATGTGTACAGAAAAGAACCCAAGAATGTAGAACACCCTCAGAGCTACTCCATCGACTCTTTAGTGCAACAAATTAGTCAACCACCACATTGGTTTTTTAAGCCAACTGTCAGTTGGAATGGTAGAGCAGAGGGTCTGAAACCTGAATATGACATTAGCACTTGCAGGTGATATTCAATTACTTACTTAAGGTTTGGCTATGCTAAGCAGGAAATGAAATGGACAGGACACCAGAAAAATTACTGCCACAAAGACCTTGTTTTGAGAGTATGCATATGCAGGCCGCCAAACAATTTCTAACTTAGTGTTAAGTTCACATTTACAGAAAATATTTAAACAGAAGGTCGGCCACTTTTAGTCACAGGACAAGCCAATGCAGGTTGCACAGCGGACACAGCGGAACTAGGACATGTGAAATTTAAGTGTCGATGTGCGTTTATTTATTGATAAAGATTTCTGTAAGATTTATGAACTAGTAATTTGATATGACATTGAAAAAAGAAGGTCTTATTACCCGAACTATTTAAAGACTCAAGACGGACAAAGGTATCTATATCCTATTATATCCGCAAAGGTACAAAGGTATCTATTATATCCGTTCAATCAGCACGCTTGGTGGCAAGAATGTTTATTTTTTATAGCAGCTTTTATTTTATAACACAGAAAGCATTCACCGGAAAGTATCCTGTCCATTCCCTTTCTATTTCCTATCCTCTCTAGTATAAGAAATACATAAATTGATCGAAACACTAACGTACCTTTGCAGCTGGTACCAAATCCTTGTTTCCATAAAAGTCATTCTTTTCGTAAAGACTGTGGTCCAGATTTTTCCAAAAGACATTAACAGCGACACCATATGTGAGTGCCAACGTATTGTGAAACCAAAGTGCAGGGATGAATAAGATATCGCCTGGTTCAAGAATGCATTCGTACTTCTGGGCTTTCAAAAACCCAGGAAATTTCTCCAAATCAGGTTTGTCAATGTCTAGAACGCGGGATTTGTCCCCATCCATGTACAAGTAGTTGACATCGGAAGGTTTGAAAAGTACAACTCTTTTTCTTCCTTGCACCTGGATAAGGAGGTTGTCCATTATATCATAATGTGTCCACAGCTGAATACCTTTGGAACTTATTCTTAGCACGCTGGAAAAAAAATCATCTTCGTCGAAGAATGGTGGTATCTGAATGTCTTCTGAAATTTGAGGATATTGCTTTCTCAAATCTGCTACTTCACGTCCTCTCCGTTCATTACTCAGAGACCGTAAATAATAAAGCTCATTCGGATTAATGAAATAATCTTCTTGAATATCTTTGACTGACCGTTTGATTATTTCGGCCATTGACAGGGTTTTGTATTGGAAGTTTTTATTGATGAAGTCCATTTTACTTTCAGGAGAGACATGGATTTTGGCTTCCAAATGGCCAAGGTGATGCATCAAATATTCAGGAGTCCATTTTTCACAGCAATCCCCGATTTTAACTCCCTTCAAAACAGCGGGTTGACGCCTAATCTGGATTTCTTTTACAAATTCTTCCTTCGATAAAATATTGTTGTGAGCATGAACTTTGATCACATTTCCAGTTCTGTCCATATCCATAATTAGTGAATAGGCCTATCTGAAAAAAATCATAATTTTTTGTACCAACAGTCATTCAGACCGTAAAAAGTGTAACTTGGTACAAAATGAGAAATGCATGATAAACAACAGCATTGTATGAAATAATTAAGTTATGTAGTCTTAGTCTATCTTATCAGCTACCTAAGTTTATCTTGTGTAGGCCTAACATAGGTAAGGTTCACTTTTTAACAACACTGCCTATTCTCATTAAAATTTGCTGAAAACTTTGACTGACTGACATGTGCAGCAGCCTGAAAGTCTTTAAGCTTAGATTTTGCTTACCCATGTGTTATGTTTAAAAGTTACTAGGCCTACTGTAAGTTAAGTTTAGGTCCAATCAATGACTAAGCAATCAAAAATGTTGTCGTTGTCTCCTTGGTCAGCACTAACTTAGGTATATCTGGAGTTTGACAAGGTAAATTGTTATTTGGATGTAGGCCTATGGTATACAGTACCTTAGGTACCGTATATGTAAATATGCAGCTATATAAGTAAGTAGGCATTGTATGTAACTGGACCTATTCTAGTCAGTCGTAGGTGAACTGTAGTTACACCATTAAGGTAACTTAGTACCTATTCACTAGTCCGTACATTACTCCACTCCTTGTTCCTTGGCGTGCTATTTGCTCCCCGCACCATGAAAAGAAGTTACGTAAGTTATATTTTCGCAATTCACTGTGGTTTCTGGGCCTCAAAAAAATGTTTTAATGGTATTTTATGTTTATTAGAATCATAGGAACAATTAATTTAGGAAGGTTTAAAAAAAGGGCTGCACTTTACTTGACGTCCTACACTCATTCGAATGAAAATATCGATCTATATATCGATTAATCGATTGCTTCATTCGATATATCGTTTGGTTAGTTAGGTAAGGTTAACCTAACCTAACTAACCAAACGATATATCGAATGAAACAATCGAATAAAAATATCGAATCGAAAAACAATCGAATGAGTGTAGGACGTCAAGTAAAGTGCAGCCAAAAAAAGTCCAGAAAGTTCAGATTTACCAGGTAAGTTTAATTGAACAAGTAACTTAAGCTTAATTGGGCTGTGAGCGCAATAAGTTTAGGATCTTTAGAAACATTGAGAACAAAGTAAACTTTAGCCATTAGGGAATCCCGAGGATTCTACTTGGAAGCAAGAAATAGACCAAGGCTGAGAGGTTGAAAGTCATGATATTAGGCTGCACTTTACTTTAGGTCCTACACTCATTCAAATGAAAATATCGATGGTTTGATTGTTTCATTCGATATATCGTTTTGTTAGTTAGGTAAGGTTAACCTAGAACCTAACTAACCAAACGATATAGGATCGAATGAAACAATCGATTAATCGACCTATAACTTATCAATCAATATTTTCATTCGAATGAGTGTAGGACCTAAAGTAAAGTGCAGCCGAATATTATGATAAGCCTAGGCCTACCACTAACTTAGTCTGGGTACACTTCCATATCTGTTGGCAAAAACAACCGAACGAGTAATATTAATTACCGTATTCGATTGTTTCATTCGATATATCGTTTGGTTAGTTAGGTTAGGTTAACCTTATCTAACCAACCAACCGATATATCGAATAATCGATATATCGATCGATATTTTCATTCGGTTGTTTGTGCCAACAGATATGGAAGTGTACCCCTTAATTTATTGTATTTGTTAATAAAATAATATAATCTATTGGAGGGAATAAAACTTACCACAAGTTACTAAAGGTGACAAGGATGGAAAAGGTTTAATACAATTTTGTTGTGGGATAATTTCTTAATAGCCTATACGCTAGGCCTAACTTCGGCTAACTTACCGTGTAAGATTCAAGATATTTTCAAACAATAATTATTTTTAAATTTGCCTCTTAAATGTTATAATTTGTTCAAGAAATGAAAAGTTGTAGAAAGCTTAATATGGATGCAGAATTTCATTTTCGTTTCATAAGAGTTTGTGATACTTTACTTAAATGTTCAATAACCGCGGGCCACATTAAAAGACTTAGCTTCAGCTTCAATTCAAATTAGGTTATGTTGACAAACTTTTTTTTAATTAGGTTCTTCTTCCTCTTTACTAAATGTTTGTTAGAAGTTTTGTGCTCAGTTTTGTACCATGTAACACTGAATTTATACCATAATGCAATAAGACATTTTTATTACTGAGCCACCCACTATAGTAGGTAGTAGGAGGTACTGTATGACTGAGACTGACGCACTATTGTCCTCGCCACCCTAAGTTGAGGCAGCCCAAGGCCGCACGGCGTATATCTAGTGCGGCCTTTGGCTGCCTCAACTTAGGGTGGCGAGGACTATAACGTGACGAAGCACAGCCACCTCTAATACATGATATTGAAAAATTGTCTTTAACATTGCCGCGTGCATGTTTCCCGCCATCCTATGCCTTCGTCCACAGCCACCTCTAATACATTAGATGTATTATCATTGATGTATTAGAGGTGGCTGTGGACGAAGGCATAGGATGGCGGGAAACATGCGCGCGGCAATGTTAAAGGCAATTTTTCAAATTAAAGCTTGAATAAAAGAATAAAAAAGCCTGATTCTCGGGGGGGGGGGGTCATTGTCCCTATGGCCCCCTCTCTGGAACCACCACTAGTACGTGGCACTTCAGAGGAACTCCTCTACTCTTCGCTGATGATGTGAAAATGTCCTCTGACATATCTTCTGAAGACGACTTCACACGGATGGTCAAAATCGTTACAGAAATGAACCACCGGTCCATTAACGGGCGGCCGGCTTAGGAATGAACTTTCGGTTGAGAAGTTCAGTCCACAAATTTTGTGTGGCGTATTAATTTATAAAGATTCGCGGATTCGCTAAAGCAATGTAGGTACTAATATCAAGTTTATTGAACAGACAGTTAACGGTTTTGTGTTGTTTGGTAGGAATGCTGTTGTGCGCCAAAGTAATTAAGGCTTTCTGTACTATAAAGTATGCTTTTTAAACATGTATGCTTTTTTTTAAACATAGATGTAATGCAAAGGTTAATTTTATTTTATTCTTAAATTCACTTATGTTTTTTTTCCTTTAAATATTTGTGTACATTTTCTGTATATACTTTGTTGGAATAAAGAAATAATTCATTCATTCATTCATAATCTGTGCAAGAAAGCCCACTTAGTCGGGTGCGTGACTGTAGGAAAAATAACTTAATCTTCATTCTAAAAATAACCAAGTAGTTTTGTTTATCAAAGTAACACTACACATGGTACTTGCATAAAGTTAGGTATAAATCAAACAAAATATATCTTACTGGTTTAATTTATACAAAATGTATATTACGCTTGGAATGAATATATGTACCAACAATATGTATACTTTTTACCAATGGTTATATTGTTTTCTCTATGGTTTAACTCTATGATACAAGCCTAATTCAAGATAGGCCTACATATAACATATACAACAGGTACATAAAAAATTAAATATTTATAAAAGCCATTGTTTACTCACCCTTGATACAAAAAAATAAATACTTTATATACAAAATACTTTCTACACATAACTAAATTCATACAAAAGCTGTACAAACTTAAAATAGGTAGGTCTACTGATAATCTTATACAGATATTTTTTTATGTACCGCTAATGTGTTTCATTCATTTTGCTATTTTTGTAAAAAAAAAATACTAAACATAATAACATAATAATACTCCCACAGCAGCAAGCCTGCAGACTAGGTGAATTTCCATTTACTGTACTTGATTTGATTTTCAATTAAATTTATTTCAATAACATTAGTTTTAACGAGTACCTAGGTTTGCTGCTATAGGGAGGGTAATAAAGTGTGTTTTTTTAGTAAAACTTAATAGCTTAGGATAAAATAAATAAATTTGCCAAGTTTGATCTAAGTATATACATAAAACAAGCAAACTACAACAGTTTACTTTTTCTTCATAAGAATATAATATAGGAATTTTAAATTAACAATCTTTTGCATTTTATCCGTAACCAGTACAAAAACACTTCAATATACTAAATTGAATTATTTGTTTTTTTAAGGTCTTCAAAATGGTCTATAGAGAAATTGGGAAATCTTATGTTTTGAGGCTGAAAAACAAGAAAAACCAATTTTTACCTTTTAAATTCCCCATAAATCCCTTTCCCATGGTCCGATCATGCTTGTTCGAGAACTTGTTCGAATTAACATAGGTTTACACGTTGGTACCAAATTTCATCAAAATCGGATCATTTTTGCTTGAGTTATCATGGTAATGGACAGTCGGACACATATATACCGGGTGTCCAAAACAACCTGTACACCCCTTTAAAAACAAGGGGGGACCTTTTCTTACAAACAACAAATAATACAGAACTAGATAAATTGGGCACGGTCAACCAAACAGTGATAATTCTAAATCCAAAATCAGACTGAAAGTGGCTTTTTCATACCGGAAGTTGACTTTTTTAAATGTAAACTACCAATTTTGATCACAGAATCGGATTCTACGGTAAAAAATGCATAACTTTTGTCAAAAACATTTTTTGAAAAAAAAAGTTTTCTACCCCTAATCCCCTATTAAAATCAATTATATGTCATTCATCTGTTACTTGAAACTATAATAGATATAAACAAATAACAAAGATTACATAACGCTTCAATATACTAAATTATTTGTTTTTTAACCTCTACAAAATGGTTTGGATAGAAATTGATAAATTTTAAGTTTTCAGGGTCAAAAATGGGAAAAAACCAATTTTTACCCCATAAAACCCCCCATAAACCCCCGTTCCCAAGGTCCGATCATGCTGGTTCGCGAAATCGTTTGAATAAACGTAGATTTACACGTTTGTACCGAATTTCATCAAAATCGGATGATTTTTGCTCGAGTTATCGCGCTAACGGACACATATATAAATATATACATGAATTTGAACGGATGATGTTTTTGGCCTCTAGGGACCTTCTTTTTTTTTCCTAAGGACGCTAGGCATGAGCCTGGGATTGTTTTTCACATTACTTCAGGCTAGACCTAGGGGTTGCGGCTAATTAAAAAAAAATAGTTCTGTTCATAAATAAAATTATAAATGCCTCAAATTCTAACAAAAGATGTACAGTTAAGAAGTATTCACAATCTAAGCAAAACCTTGGACAAAAATATAGTGTCGCCGGCGGGATTCAAACTGGGGACCTCTAGATCACGAGTCCAAGACGCTATCAACTACGCCATGAACACCGATGAAATCATATCGTCTCGTTACGGTAATGGTGTTCCCTAAAGAGCAGAGTGACGTCACGCGCCCCACTCCTTCTCTAAAGAGGTTCTCATCAGTTCCTGGAAGGGGAAAACGAGACGCTATACCACACACGTGGTGAACTGTACATTGGGCTTCATATCACACTACTTTAAACTAAGGTAAACTTACATACTTTTTTGTTTTGTTTTAACATGTTATGTAACACAACAAACCTGTACACACAATCTTATACAGTGAAATTTGATTTACATAAAAAACTGTTAAACTTTGTTCTTTCCTTGTATTTATCAGACTGTTATAGTGTAATTCTTTTGTACTTTCTTCCTTCCTAAAATTTCTTGTATTTCCTCCATTGATTTGTTATGAGTTTCTGGAGCGTACGTCCAAGTGTAAATAACAGTGGCGGCACACGCCAAACTAAACACTAAATAATTAACATACATACCAAATGATTCTGCAACTAATAAGTAGTATTTGTTTAGAAAAAATGCCGTAATAGCTACAGAAAAAGTGACAAGTGAAGAAGATAAAGCTCTTATACTACTGGGTAACACCTCTCCTTTTATACTGGTTCCAATCGGCCCTAAACCGATGTTGAAAACACAGTAGTAAAAAAAAATGGACCAGAAAATAACATCACTGTAATGTGACACGTCAATGGTGGTAAACTCGTCCAAGTAAAACCATAAGGCTACGAGTGATGTAGCGATTGAACATCCACCACATGATATAGTAAGCAATATACGACGGCGATATTTGACTGCCAAACCTGCGGAGAATATGGAAGAGATGAGACTTGTGAGTCCAATTATAATCACACTGTTGTTAGCGTTTAAAACTCCCACACTTACAGGAGGTAAAGTAATTGACAAGTAAGCTTGCATTACTCCAGACCCTGAGAGTCTTTTGAAAATGGCGTATGTAACAGACAATGCAAAACCTTTACGGTTGGCTTTGTGACAAAATATATCTCTCAGTGATCCTTTTTGTAGCTTCTGTTTCTCAATCCCTTGTTCAATACTTTTTATCTCTTTCTCAATATTTTCTTCGGTTTCTCCTTTACGAAGCCAGCTCAGAGCAATGAGCGCTTCTTTTCTTTGACCAGTCTGCAAATAGAAATGAGGAGATTCCGGCATCATTATAAACGAACAAATATAAACAACAGTCATTATCTCACAGATCACAGCAAACAAAAAATAGTTGACATAGGGACCCACAACGTAAGCAAATAATATCCCAAAGTTTGTCATGAGATTGTTTACAGTCGTTAAAGAACTTCGCAGTCCGGTGCTTGAGATTTCACCGACGTAAATTGGCATTATAGTTGATGTTATTCCAATCCAGAGACCCGCTAGGTATCTCGCAATGTATAAGTATGTCACATGGTAAGCATAGTAGATCAAAAGCCACGAGAGGAGTGGAAAGACGGATAAGTAGAGGCAGACCTTCTTACGACCGAAGTAGCGCATGAGGTAACCAGCTGGTATTGGACTTGAGATGTGTCCTAGGAACATGAGAGAGACCATCCAAGAGATCTGGGTTACGTTGAGTTTCAGAGGAGTTTTACCTTGATCCATCTCGATCAAAACCGGAGAAGGCCAACCTGTGGATGCCCCAACTACTCCATAGGCCAATGAGCCTGAAATAAAAATCATTAGCTTTAGTATCAATGTACAGGCCGTAGTCACAGAGATTTACTATGAATGGCTATCTTTATCCCAACTCTGACTTAAGAGTATTATAACTAAGAAGAAATGACTATATTCTGTTTAATTGTATTAATTGAATTTAGATTGAAGAAATTACACTTAAATTTGCATGCTGCTTTCAATACACTTCCACTGATGATTTATTTGATCTTTAAAGGCCAGTGCCGGATTTACTACTAGGCCGATTAGGCCGCGGCCTAGGGCCGCAAGCAAAAAGGGGCCGCAGAGGATTGAAAAAACTTTTTAGATAAAAAAATATTTTTTTTAAATTATCAGTTTGCCACGAGTGCAGGTCACTATAATGATGTCTCCGTGATTGTGGACCGAGGAAGATTTTCACGATTTCGCCGCGGCCGTGGGTGACGGTGATGACGTCCCCGTGATTGCGGCTCGCGGGACACATACGGTTTAGCCGCAGCCGCGGGTGACGGTGATGTGTCCTCATGATCGCAGTCCGCGGGAGACGTTCAAAATTCAGCCACTGTCGCGAGTGTCGATGATGTCCCCATGATTGCGGCCCGTGTGAGATGTTCAATATTTTACCACGGTTGCGGGTGTCGATGATAATGTTACCGTGATTGCAGCCCGTGGGAGATGTTCGAGATTTCACCACGGTCGCAGGTGTTGATGATAATGTTACCGTAATTGCGGCCTGCCGGAGATTTTCGCGATTTTGCAGAGGCTGGGGGTGTCAATGATGATGTCCCCGTGATGGCTTCCCGAGGGGGATGTTCACGATTTCGCCACGGCCGCGGGTGACAATGATGATGTCCTCATTATCGCAGTCCACGGGAGATTATGTAACAAGACTTCGCCACGGCCGCGGGTGACAGTGATGATGTCCCCGTGATTGCGGCTCATGGGAGATGTTTACGATTTATTTTGAAGTTTAGTAATTTGGCCTAGGACCGCAAGTACCCTAAATCCGGCACTGATTAGGCGTACCTAGATGATACATTAATAAATTGTTATTAATATAGGCCTGCACTTCACAACTTGCTTCAAAAAAGTTATGTAAAATTTAAATTTGTAAATAAATATACAGCCGTGTTTCAAAACTATCTCCCAAAACTCTGTGGGCATGTTTCTTAGGTCAAAACAAACTAAAAATGCACTATAAACATATGCCCTATCTCGATTCGTTTTCCGTCTATCAGTGTGTGAGTTTTTTTACATAATCCCATAACTTTGCAACTACTTGAGGTACCATTCAAACTTGGTATGTATATGATGACTAATAGGAACTATTTTTTTGAAAGTACCAAGTTTGAAGTTGGTACCTCAAGTATAGTTCCAAAGTTTTGGGAAGTTATGTAAAAAGCAAAGCGCTAGGGCATATGTTTATATTACAGTTTTGATTGTTTTGACCTAAGAAACATTCCCATGGAGTTTCGAAACACCCTATATATGGAAGCTCTATTTATTTTGTGAACTAAAACAGGTCTCCAATTTTCTTATGCAATAAAACATCAATCAACTTGCATTATCAAAAATCAATGGCAGTAATTATACAGGGTGAATTTTAAATGAGTTCCCCCCCTACTTTTTTCCACACTTCTTAAGATATCATCTCCGGACCACGTCAGATCAATGTTGAGTAGTGAAGTACTTCATTTTGACTGGGTATACATTTTTGGCCGCCATCTTGGATCCGCCATATTGGATACAAAGTTTTTTTTTCAAATGTAAAGGTAGGGTTGTGACCCATCATTTCAAACTAAAATTTTATGCTGATTACAATGTCGCAATTAGTTTTTTAAAATCTTGATTCGTTCTAAAGTTATGAGGACATTTTATAACTTTATTTTTAGCCAATTTTAACATTGTGCATTAAAAAAAAAGACCATAATCTCATAATAGTGCTAGATAAAGATAAGTATACGAGTGAAAATTTAAAAACGTACGTTTTCAGGAAAAGCACTTTGCAAATTCTTTTCCCCTTTTTTCAAAACTTTTATTATTATTTTTATTTCATTAACATTTGAAGTTTCATAAAATGTCCATGGTAACGCAATATCTTTGGTAGTTTCTTTTTAAAAGAGCATCTTTAGTGGAAAAACACAAAATCCTGTCACGACCATAACGGACGTTTAAATGAATATTAAAAATAGTTAATATTATTTTTATAACTATGTTTTGCTATAAACTTATTTACTTTTATGACCATTATACAATAAAAAGGTCACTGAGCTTTTGGTATATTTGGTCTTTCTAGAAAAAAATAAAAAAACTCAAAAAACTGAAAAAAAGCCAATAAAATCTTTTTAAGTTTGTATAACTCCGAAAAAACTTACCTGAGACCCGAAAAATCGTTATGTTTGTATAGAGGTGTGCTTCTTTTGTTTATAAAACATTAAAATATGACGATATTTTAATTTTTGAAATTTTTATGATAGAAATCATAAACGTGATGGTCAGGCGTCAAATGTACAAGCGGTACGGTCGTGAATTGTCTGGAATAATCTAAATCTTTCTAAACAATCCTTCAATTATCCTGTTAGTTATAATAAAAATATGTGTTTCAATTGAACTAAACTGTTCAATTTACAATTATATTAAAGTTATTGTCACGACCAAACACACTATAATCCATAAGGCTGGATTGGTCGTGAAAAAACCCGCGATGGTCGTGAAACTTTGGTCGTGAAGTTACGTGTTATTTGGCTCTATTCTGGCGGTAGCCCTGCACCTCATGTTCGAGGATACAAAGTGAACTTCTAGGTTAATATAGCAATTGAAATATCTTATAAACAAAAATTAACACCATGTCTACTTCATCGAATGACTACGTACGGTCATGGACATATTACAAAAAACACAATCTTTCCTTTATTAATCTTGTAATTCCTCATTTCAACTAGAAACGACTGGCACTACAATCCTGACATACACCCCGAACTAGTCTCTAAAACCAACTGACTCCATCGACGCCAGGCTTGCCACTGTCGTGCTCCAAAGTTGAAAATTTTTCCCAAATGGTCGTGACGCCAAATCGAGGGACAGACTTATTTTGTCATGGTAGTCAGTTTTTAATGACAATAAAATTATAATATGCTCCTTTTTTGTAAGTTTAATAACCATTGATGACATAAAAATATGGCTTTATATATTTCGGCATGAATAATTAGTCTAAAAACAGCGTGAAAGTTGGAAAATGTACCCTAGGGACACGTCATGGTCGTGAATTTCGAGACTTTAAAAATACGAAAAAAATACCTAGAACCTATTTAAAACCAAATAAATGTGTGTAACATGTTGCCCCCGTCCCAAAAAATATTAAAACACATAATAATAAACTACAAATCCAGTATCTACGAAGAAAAAGGCCAGGGACATGAAAACGTACGTTTTTAAATTTTCACTCATACACCACCATTCATTGTTGACATATTTTTACTTGGTTATGACGGATGTCGTTTTTTCAGCCGCCATCTTGGATCCGCCATTTTGAAATGTGATCAATTAATTTAAATATGAAGGTGGTGTTGTGACCCATCATTTTGAGCTACTTTTTATGCTGAACTCAACGCCGCAATTCGTTTTTCATTTGCATCTTTTGATTTTGAAATATTGAAATTTTAAATAAGAGTATTTTAATATTTCATCAAGAAAGCTTGATAACCAAAAACGGATTGCGGCATTAAGTCCAGTATAAAAAAGTAGTTCAAAATGATGGGTCACAACACCACCTTCATATTTAAATTAATTGATCACATTTCAAAATGGCGGATCCAAGATGGCGGCTGAAAAAACTACATCTGTCATAACCAAGTGAAAATATGTCGACAATGAATGGTGGTGTATACTTATCTTTATCTAGCACTATTTTCAGATTATGGTCTTATTTTTTTAATGCACAATGTTAAAATTGGCTAAAAATAAAGTTATAATAAGTCCTCATAACTTTAGAACGGATCAAGATTTTTAAAAACTCATTGCGGCATTGTAATCAGCGTAAAATTCTAGTTTGAAATGATGGGTCACAACCCTACCTTTACATTTGAAAAAAAAACTTTGTATCCAATATGGCGGATCCAAGATGGCGGCCAAAAATGTATACCCAGTCAAAATAAAGTACTTACTACTCAACAATGATCTGTCGTGGTCCGGAGATGATATCTTAAGAAATGTAGAAAAAAGTAGGGGGGGAACTCATTTAAAATTCACCCTGTATACCTACTAAGTATAACCATAAAACAACCCTTTTTTACAACAAACTATGCAATAACAAAATTTTCTTATTTGTTAAAGAGCTGTTAACTTTTGTAAAGCAGAAGCTGTGTCAACACAGCTGTGAAAAGTTGTATGATGCGTCATAAACTACGCACGTAAAAAATTACTAGATCAATTAAACATTTGTTTTAGAACTACAAAAGTACGGTATCAAAGTACGGTATCAAAGGTCTTCAGTCTTTTCAAATTTGATAAAAACTCTAGAATATCAAAACACAGAATAATATAATTGTTCTTACCAGATATAGCTGCCATATACTGGTTGATCATCCCTTCTTTTAAACTTCCTGTCTTTATATACACCATTTTTACAGTCTGTAAGACAAAAATGAAAGAAATCAGAAACATTTCATGATTGGTTAGCCTCTGGATCAAGATATAGCTAGATTAAAAAGGTTTAGATTACCTGTTTTGTCAATTAATTCTTATGTTGTTAGAAATAACTTCAGCTGTTTCGTACTGCTAAGAGCATATCTTGAGGTTATGGACGTTAAACACTATTCTCATTGTTGTATGAGGTCATCAGCATTAATTATCTTCTGGGACTCAAAAACACAAACACACACGAAAACGACATTTATACAAAAAACTTGGCCAAGTAGTCTGAACACGAATGAGGTGCATTACCCATTGATAATATGTTTGAAGTATTTGGCGAAGTTTTTTCTATACCTTTAAATAAGAACAAAACATTCAGTCCAGAGAGACCTGGCCTTTAGGCATGTGCAAAAGGTGCGGCCCGCACTTAGCCCTTTACCTCTGGTTTGCGCTTGGTGCATAAAATACAAGAAATTTGTAAAATGTCCTTAAATTTTATGTCAATAATGAAAAAAATAAACAACGAGAGTATAAATACCTACTAATATTATACATTGAGGATATTGTTAGACAGTATTATTTAATACTTTTTTTTGTAGTAAAGGGTCCCGCTCTGAATGTTTGTACTGGGCCCCGCACTACCCAAGACTGGCTTTGAGCCCAAATAAATTAACATACTCAAAAGTCAAAATTGCTTCAGATATTTTAGGATGAGAAGTCCTCTTCCACCATTAAATTTCAGGTATGCAAGGTATGGAGTACAGTTTTAACTCACCTTTATTGTTGGAGATAGTCTTGTATCACAGTCAATGTATCACTGGCTACTTAGGATCAAACGCTCCTGTTATCATAGTACTCAAGTGATCCATGATATTGATCCAATTCTCACGACTACGTCACATGTGAAAAACCACTTTAAACTATTTATTACGTAAAATCTTTGTTTACCACTTAAAGTTACCTGGTTCCCGTTAAAAAAACAGCGTATGGTGTGTCATACACTTATCCAAGTCAAGGTAAAGTTATTCACTTTGAGAAATTCCTCGGTGACTTTTGCTGAAGTAGTTTTTAAATGTTAGCGAATCTTTTGTTTTAGTGTTGGGAAATAATTGTTTTGTTTTAAAGGGAACCCTGTTTTTTCTATTAAAGAATTTTTCCAATTTGGTGCTAGAGATATTCAGTAACTTTCGATTTCATGTTTATTTGACAACACTGTGATCTCTAATTGTGGTATGTTCTAAGCATTTCTTTGTATGGTTGCTCGTCCTGGCTTTGATATTGCATTGTTTTTTACATGTCTGTGTCTAATAACAATAACGGATTCTTATTCTTTATGATTTGAGAATTGGGTACTCCTGATGTTATTGAAGAATTGTTCCCATGAACACTTTAACGGCATATGTTTGCCTTTACATATTTGTTTCCTATGCGAGGGGAACTAGGGGTTGACTAGTAAGTAAATATATTTCATAGCATTACTAGCCTCTGCAGTGGGGCATAGGTCATACATAGTTTTAAATACATAGAAATATGGTAAAGAGGGTGTTGATTTTCCAAAAGATTGATTACATACATTGATATTTTCCCAACTACATCCCAGAGAAAAGAGATAATCGGGAATGCTAAAAATTAAATTCAATGCAGTTTTTTGCTTGCAATTTTGAGCGGAGCAACCATATTAATCCAATGTCAATGCTACATCTATTTTGAGCCGTGACATCTCCTCACACTCCACGGGATGTCACGCCTCAGTATTTTTGTAGTATATCGTCACCGGAATTGGTTTGGATTTGGGTCGTTTTGCAGCAGACCTGTTGACCCAGAGTCAACGTCCGCTGTTCTGAAACATGTGTTGTCAGAAGGCGAGTGATTGTCATCTGTTCCTGTCAAGACTTTGTGTGTGTTGTTATTTGTTTGAAATGTATCTTCCACCATCGTGTAGTATATTTGTTTATGTTCGTTGTGTTGTCTTCAGTAACATGGAATAAGTTCGCCAAACGTCAGATGAGGTCCCGAATGGGAGGCTTCACTTGTTCCTGTCCTCGGAGAGGGTCGCCCAGGGAGACACTCTACCTCCTCCCTCTACAGGCTGTATACTGCCTCGCTCTCCAGACAGCATGCCGCCCTCCGCCATCTACCACCACCGCCTACTGCAAGTGTGAAATTGCCCACTACCAATGTACTACCGCCCCATAAATTAGACTCCCCCTCAAAGAATATGAAGCGTTTCAGAGGAGAACAAGCGAAGCCCTGGCTGTAAAATGGAGAAAACCATACTCCCAAATTATCGGATGGTTGAGGATCCAAAGCCAGCTTTCCATCATTCGAGCAGTTTCGCTTAGGCTACGGGGAACTAGACGAAAAATTCGAAGCATTCAATTTGAAGATGGTGCCGCGATTCCCCCATTGCTCTATTGAGCTTTCATTTTATTTTTTTATACATCCCAAGTAGCTAGTATTTTAAAATTAAATCTTTTATTATGTAATATGCAAATTATCACATTAAAGTCCATTAATTTCTTTACATACATTGCTAAATCTATGCAATACAATCCTTTATTAATGCTGTGTATTTATGAATGTAGTTAAAACATTTTTTACTCTTTTGGTTGATTAGGCCTACATAACAAAAGGCTAAAGACAAATTTATTAAATTCGCTCACCAATCACCAGATCTTGCAATTTGTATTTTTTTTTCTTCTTTATCATTGAAATCATTTTTGTAAATATATTTGGGTATTTCTTTTCTAGTCATTTGTTATATTATTATTTATCTGTTAATTTATTTAAATGTTAATTCTTCAGTTACTAGTTTGTAAGTACAGAAGGGTAAATAAAGTCTCATGCTTTAAAAAAAAATTGGAATTCTTTGAATGGGGGTAACACTTGTTATTTTATTGTTTGTTGAATTTTTGAGATCATAGGCTATTGTTTCCAATGTTGTTTTGTTTTAGAAATTCACCCACGGCCTTTTAGTTTTAGTTAGGGATGTAGGACGACCACTCGCACTGTCACTATGGGGGGCATGCTTCCACTAGTATCTCGTCTGGGGGCGGTGCGAGAGGTCGGCTCAGTTTTATGGGAATGGGACTTGCAGGATACAAAGTCAATAATACATTTAGTTCACGTCAATGTGATGTCTACTTGCAGTATACAAAGTCAATGGTACATTTAGTTCATGTCAATGTGATGTCTAATTGTAGTATCCAAAGTCAATGGTATATTTGGTTCACATAAATGGAATAGCTATTTTTGGAGTATCTTAAGTTAATGGTGTATTAGCCTAATTTCGGCGATCCTAATTGGTTTTAAATTTTGTAGTAAATTATGCTCGGCGATAACAATCCTGTTCTTCCCTTTTGTTCTGAATTAGGCCTATGTGCTAGTTTAGATGATCTGTTGACTTAGATGATATGTTGCGACTCTTTTGTTTATCATGTTATTGTTAACTTATAAGGCTCATGTTAAATTTCTAAACATTCAAATTGACGTAGAAAAAAGCCCTTAAGTCTGATTTCCATTTGTACCATTTCAGATTCATACCTTCCCAAAGTCAGTTTTTGTGTAAAGTAAATTTAGTGCGGATCACTTTAACCCTTCAAGAGCAGTATTTAAATAGCCTCCTCTAACACAAGGCAGTGGCGTTGGTGTGTGGCAACATCGCATTGTCATCCCTATTGCCATGGTAATAACAGAAATAACAAAAGTGTAAACATAAACATTTTCTACACTGTCCATTATAAATTAGTGCAACAGCTGTTTCGGTTTGATGGGACAGCAGTGTTTCGACTTTTGTCTCGCCGCGGCCTTGAATTAGAGGAAGCTATGGTATTTGTAAAACAAAAGCAGGAGTGTAGTATAAGAGCTTTGCTCACTCCGCTTAGTAATTACTTTAAAATGTTGCATTATAAAGATGTAATTGAAAAAATGTTCAACCAATCATTATTTTCCCCTCATAGAACTAGGGAAACTTCTACATTTTAATGATGATTCTGTAAATAACTAAACACTGTATATATCAAGAGTTTGAAGGATTTGTTTCAATGTAAAAACAATCATTCTCTACTTGTATTATTCAAGGTAATGGTAGTTAAGAAAGGTAAACAAACAACCAAAAGAAGTAAACAAAAACCATCTTCTGTTCATGGTGATAAACTAGATATGGATTGGTGTTTATGTAAACACCGAATTTACTAAATGTTTCACAGTACATAATAATAATTGTTTATTATTGACATGAATACCACATAGCTTGTTTCAATAATTCCAAAAATAGTGCCTCAGTTTTTTGTTTTGTTTTATGAAACAAGGACTTAAACAGTAAGTACCTAACTAATAGTTCTAAAGCAATGTACTCGTACAAATATTATTTTATAGATTTAGTCCAGTTATAACCTGCTTATTCAATTCTTTTAATTTTTCATATAGGTAATGACAGTTGTAGTTATTCCATTGAAAATCTATACAGTTAGTCGTACAGTTGATCAAGAAGTTATTTAGTTAGTCATACTAATAAACAAATTTTATAATATGAGTTTTTTTAAGTATCAAAACTGGTTGCTAGAAAATCCATTTTCCAGCTTTACAACTTTTCTTTAGAAACCCAATTGGTTTCTTAGCTAAGAAAAACAAAAATAATTTTGTTAACTGTTCCTAAAATCTTACTTTTACAGTTTTTATGAATGTAGTCTTATATCTTTTGACTTAGCTAAGTTAAGAATCAAACCCAACTTGTGAAGATGTTCAGGTTTTATTCTGTGTCTTGTACACAAGATTCAGAATTGTTTGCCAATTCTTTTTCTCGAATTAGTCTGATACCTTATAGTTACCAAATAATAATAATATTTTATTGATTTTATTCGCATAAAAGATACTCTTATACTTTTCATATTTTTCATTGTTCTAACTCTAACCTTGATTATGTAAAACCACTTGACTGTTATCAAATTGTTTTAATTATTTCTCTTCCTACTAGATAGGATAAATTGCAATGCCACTGTTTCACTGCTAGTTGGATCAAGTTCTTTATCTTTAGTTCCTGAGATGAAGACAAGAAGTGGTTACTTTATCATAAATCATGCTTACACATTGACAGTTATTTGTGTTATTACTTTTTGCACTTGCTACTTGACATCAATTGGATGGACTTGTATGAGAAACTGTCTGTGATACCGGTAAAGTAATGGCACTGTGGGAAAAGTAGTATTAAAGAGACAAGGCGAGCTTGGCTGATTACCTGAGACAGAGTGAGACACAGATTAAGAACTAACCCAGAACTCTCACTGAGCCATTGGGTTTGAATCTGCCAGTGTCTATACCAGAATAAAAAAGTCCTGTTGCTGCTGCAGCTGTGCATTTGATCAGCTGATAGCAACAGTTTAGAGACAAAAGCTCTTTCTGCTACTGCCCCAAGTCTGGCCTCACCCTAATACTAGTAGATTAAAACGTAATATGTTTTTTTATTGTTGGTTTTTACAATGATGCTGAGCAATAATTGAACACAAATAAACTTTCCTCTTAATAATGTATGATGCACATTTTGAGGTTTAATTTGACTATCAGATTAGTGAAGAGACAAGATAAGCAACTGTACAGACTTTTATTTGCAACAAGGTAACAAAAATTTTAAATTCCTTTCTTAAAACCCTTATCAATTACATAAGCGCTAAACTTTCTATTTCATATAATACTATCTACCATTTGAGTACAATCTGAATTTCTTCCCGTATTTCAAAATCTCCCGTATCTCCTCCAAAGTTCTATTGTGCGTGTCTGGAACGTAAGTCCATGAGAACAAAATGGCCAAAACACAAGACAAAGTGAATATAAAGAAATTCATATACATTCCCACACTATGTGCTATCAGCAAGTAGTATTTATTGATTAGAAACCCTGAGAGGGCTACAACTAAAGTTGTCAACGAAGAGGATAAAGCCTTTACGTTCGGAGAGAATATTTCTCCCTTGATACTAGTTCCGATGGGCCCGAGTCCAAAGTTGAACACAGAGTAATAGAGAGCGAACGATAGAAAGACAATGTCACTGTATTTTGAGTTTAGCGTAGAGTAATTGTTGTTGTAGTAGAACCACACCATGACGACAGCAGAGGCAATAGCACAACCACCACAGGAGATGGTCAGCAGTGTACGTCGATGGTACTTGACCATGAGTCCTGTTGAGGCGATGGAAGACAAAAGGCCGATGACTCCAATGATGATCACACACGAGTCAGGATCTAGCACACCGAAAGTCACTTTTGGCAGAGTTATTGAAGCATAAGCTTGTAACACTCCTGAACCTGAAGATCTTTTTAAGATTGCATAGGTAATCGCTATTATAAACGCCTTCCTGTTGGCTTTGTCATATAATATATCACCAAGGGTTCCCTTCTGTTCTTTTTGTTCATCCAATGCAACTTCTACCCTTTTAATTTCACTCTCAATACTCTGCTTTGGCTCCCCTTGTCGCAACCAGCACAAAACTTGAAACGCCTTCTCCTTTTGATTGTGTTTCATGTAGTAATAAGGAGACTCAGGCATTTGCAGAAAAAGACAAAAGTAAAAAAGTGTTAGAAAAATGCATGCGATCGCCAACCAGTCGTAAGACACATAGGGTCCTATCACATACACAAACAACACTCCAAAGTTTAACAGAAGGTTGTTAATAGTTGTTAACGAACTCCGCAATTTTGGCCCGGCAATTTCACTCACATAAATTGGCATAATTGTTGTCGTCACTCCGATCCAAAGTCCTGCGGCGAACCTCGCTATGTAGAGGTGAGCGGGCGTGTCCGCATATAAGATCAGTAGCCACGAAATGAACGGAAGAATGGATAAGCAAATGCAAGTTTTCTTTCGTCCGAAAATATCCATCAAGTATCCTGTGGGGATCGGACTGGTTACATGTCCGAGGAACATCATGGAGATCATCCAGGATATCTGGTTCACGTCCAGGATCAACGGGGTCTCGTGATTGGCCATCTTGATGAGTACAGGTGACGGCCAAGCAGTGGCGGCTCCCATGAGAGTGTATGCCATCGACCCTGGAACACAACAATCGTTGGTGATTTACAGTAAAATATATCTTCTCAGTGATTGATGCCTAGGATTAGAGAAACTGGAATTTAAACTTACTGGGAGCCTACAGACTATGTTTCCTCTGAGACAGAGAAAATAGAAACTGGAAACGTTTTACTGTGTTTCCCCAAAAATCTTGATACATATGAATACCAATATTCACCAGTATCAGGAGGTACCACTCACTCACTCACTTACTCACCACTCACAATGGCCATTTATGCCCCAAGGAGGGAGTTGGCCGCACCAACAACTGTTCTCCATCCTTCTCTATCTTCTGCCTCTCCCACTGCTGCCCCTTTTATATGCCTGCTATATTTATTCACTTCTCTGATGTCCTTGGAGACACTATCCCACCATCTCTTCCTGGGCATTCCTAATGGTCGTTTCCCTTCTGGCTTTCCTATGCTTTCTAATAGTGAACCTTGTTCTCTCCGTAGTGCATGTCCTGTCTAACTTATTCTCTTTGCTTTCACGTGTGCTACTACATCATAATCATTATACATATTCCTTATCTCGCAATTATGTCTTTTTCTCAATTCTCCATTTTCTTGTGTTGTGCCATTATATCAATCTTAAAATTTTGTTTTCTAAAACAATCATTTTGTTTTCTTCTTTTTTGTTTAAAATCCAAGTTTCAGCTCCATATGTTAATACTGGTCGAATTATACTATGATACATCTTTTGTTCTATGCGAGAGAATATTTAAAGTCAACAATTTCTTACAAGTGTACATACATTTATTGGCCTGAGCAATCCTATAAATTATTTCCATTTCTTCACTATTGCTGCTTGATATAATTACCCCTGGATATTTAAATTGTTCAACAACTTCTAAATTATGTCAATCTATAATAATTTAATTTGCCCTCATTTCATTTGGCTGTCTCGTGAAGTGCATGTATTTCGTCTTCTCATCATTAATATATAGGCAATTTTCTCTGTTTTTTGTATAAACAGTCTGGTTAGCTCCTCTAGTTAATTTCTAATTTTTGACAGGATGACTACATCGTCCGCAAAAGCTATATGTTTATTTTTACTCCCATTTCCAAGCCTATATTGGGTTGCCTTACTTGTTTGAGGGCCTCTCCTAAGACTATGTTAAACTGTATAGGTGACATTCCATCACCTTGCCTTTAGCCTGTCCTTACTATAGGAGGTACCAATATCGATATATAATATATACTGCTATATTAACCAATACCAAACTATTCATGATATTATGGGTGACAAACAGTCAGTAAACAGCACCAACACTTATTTTTACATCCATACTGTGGCAATAACGACGGTAAATAAATAAAAGATTGTAAAATCTTGACAATCTCAATAAAACATTTCAGATTTATTTATTGAGCCAGATTGTTGAGGATTATTAGCGGGATTATAGTGAGATTGATTACGCAAGGAAACTATTATGCTCAGCAAGCTCAAGCAAGAGACTACGGTACAAGCCATTTGTCGAAATGCTAAGGATCAAGACATAGCAAAGAAACAAACTAGAATGATTTTGTTCCATTTCAACCTGCTCTCAAAGCAATTCTATATAGGGATGAAATATCAGTGTCATGTCTTGCGTTCTTTTATTGTGTTTCTATTATCCCCTGGACCCTTGATTTTCTTAGGTAAGCTAGAAGAACTATTCATTCATAAAAATTTCAACCTCAAGAATTAAAAACTTTTAATGTAAGCCTTAAGAAATTATCCGTTGATTTAATTATAAATCAGTTTTAAAAATAAGTTTTTGGAGGGCAACAATTAAAATTTTTTTAAAGAATCACTGGTAAAAGTTAACATATGGTTGTGACTACTAAATCTGTAAATGAATGTCATTAACAGCAGGTGGCTCACGATTTCAGACGTAATATTTACACAAGTATGATCAAATGATACAGTGGGAGGTCTGAGGTCAGTACAACATATTTATCACTTTTAGGTATGTTACTTTTCCTTATACCAGTATTTTTTAAGTTTAGATATAAAGATTGTATTAACAAATCATACAACGATTAGACCATCAAGCATTTAATCATTTGGCTTTAGAAATCCCATTTCACTTTTGGTATAGCTTTACAATAATCCATTTTTTATTCAGGCTTCAATGACGGAAAGTGAGAATCAGTCTTGAACTCTTTTGTAATAAATTATACTAGAGGTCCTACAGTGGTCGAAAACTCAAACAAAAATAAGTAACTTCTCTATTTTCACCCCATGCTGTATCTTCAATTTGTTTTGATTTTCATTTATATTTTGTTGTTATTTTGTCACCAGCACGACAACCCATAAGGCAATGTTATTTTTTTATATTTTAAATTCATTTTTTTGCTTATTTTTTAGTCTATTTTAATTTATAAAGGGTTTCTGCACATCTTTCTAACAGTGTGCGTAGATTTTCCCTGCGATGCTCTTAAGGTGAAAATTGTTTTAAAGAAACATGTTAGCTTGCCTAAAAGGATTAAAGTAAAATTTGCTATAAAACAGTATAATTGAAAATCTACAGTCAATACTTATATTTGAAATTTATCAAATATGGAATGTGAACAAAGCCTGCTAATATTATTTATGTATAGTAAAACCTTGACTAACCAAATTATAATATAATACCTAAAAATACTCGTTACAAAACGTCTGCTCCTTGCTGTATTTAATTCTGTCTTAAGTTCTGTTGTAACAATAGGTTTAAAGTGTATGCTATTTTTAAAATTAGTGAAAATGTACGTATACAGCTGACCCTCGGCCCCTGTAGGTCCTTTGGGGCCCCCAAATGCCCCCCTGTGTGCACCACTGGTAACACCACTCTGTATCGTCCCACTTTATTCTACACTCATCTGCATCAAGTCAGATTAAAATATACACTTTGATACCATTCTAAAGTGATGATAATGATGATGATAACTTATAACTTAAGCGTATACTGACTTTGTAGCTACAGTACTTGTCTTGTCTAAACTATGCAGTATTGAAGTTTTTTAAATTATTTTTTTCCCCATATTCAATCCCATACATCTTACGGCATATGTGTATATCCTGGCATATGTTGTCTACCTCAAAATCAAATCTGGACTAAATTTTCACGATAAGGAAGAAATCTATCAGAGCTATATGTTAAAAATGAGCAATGATGATTCTGCATAAAAACACTTTAAACTTTTAAGAATCCTCACTGTTTATGGTTTATATGTTCTTGACTGTATGTTTGTAAAAAAAATTCTAACCCACCAATTAAAGAAAACAATCATAACTACAATACACATAACAAAAATAACTCTGTACCCTAATTGGAAATCATAAATTAGAGCTCTTAAAAAAGACTGTCAATGCAGGACATGAAATTTACAAATTTATTCCTTTGAAAATCAAAACAGAACAAAAACACAATATTTTTAAAAACGCCTCATGGAGTAATTGATGGAACTGTCCTTATACTCTATAGATGAATTAAAAATGGCTTTGTCTACTCTTAAGCATTAGTTTTTAATGGATTTGACACAATTAAAGTAGGCTACAACCATGTATACTTATGAATACTGATTCTTGACTATGACTATAAACCTTCTAGAGATGAATGTTATAAACATTCACTTGCTATACAATAAAGCACTCTTCATCATTAGACTAACCAAAAATGGCAACTGGGTTAGTGACTAGAAATTTTTTAATTGAAGACAAACTGCATCAACCTCACTGTTTCCTAGTCAGTAATTTCAAGGAAAACATTTCCGTAATAATTTTCAAATAAGTTTTTTGTCCTTTAACCCTTTCAGAACTAGGGCAATAATTTGTATTTCGTAAGTTTTTTTGTTTGCATTTTAATTCCATTAATTTTTTTGAATTTTAACTGTATTGTTGTCACTATTTTATTAATAAGGCTAATTTTTAATAACAAGACAATAACAAATATACAGGGTGAGTTTCTACTGACCGTGTTAACTTTGCCAGTGGGTTCTACTCACTAAAAGGAACAAAAAAGTTCCTATAAACCCATGTCCGATTTTCGACCGTTTGGCTGTTTTGGGGGATTTTGTGTTTTTCTTATTTTATTAGACTTTGCTCCACAATTTATGTAATAAAAACTTAACCAATTACTTTAGAGAGTTATAGTTAAAATCATTGGAAAGAACATTAAATTTGCTATAAATCAAAGGTTTCATTCAACAATTATACCATTACATAGTCCACGTTATAACCAAAATAAAGTAAAAATGTCATTAAATTAATTAATTATGATAATTTTCATGGGCCTCCTTTGATACATAAACCTGCATTTATGCAATGTTGAAATGCATAAAAAACTTGGCATTTTAATAATCTTTCAAATGATATGCTATTCGATACTATTATTGATATAAACCAGTGAGAAATTACTAATAAACTACAATAAAACACGGTTCACAGATTTTGTTTTTGCACAGTTTTACTGTTAATAATAATTACTGTATACTCCATGATGTATTTTATTGAACTATCTGATAAAATTTGTACATTATTTTAACTTTTAAATATTTATTAAAATTATCTGAATTAATAAAATGTATAAACTCAAGGTTTTTCACATTTTCAAAGATGTAGTGTGTTTGATTCTTAAATGCTGTGTAATTAGTTTTACCTTGTGCTTGATTAAGTCAGCTTTTATTGATTTGTCATCTATAGCTAGATAACTCAGCTGCTTGAACATACCTTGTTGAGTAATTTGCTGTTTTAACTTTATATTTCCAAGTCAATTAAGAGTTTTCCAACATTTATTAAAATATGGAGCCTTTTACCAATCAAGATTATGCCAACATGATGAATACAGTAATTATTATTAACAGTAAAACTGTACAAAAACAAAATCTGTAAACCGTGTTTTATTGTAGTTTATTAGTAATTTCTCACTGGTTTATATCAATAATAGTATCGAATAGCATATCATTTGAAAGATTATTAAAATGCCAAGTTTTTTATGCATTTCAACATTGCATAAATGCAGGTTTATGTATCAAAGGAGGCTCATGAAAGTTATCGTAATTAATTAATTTAATGACATTTTTACTTTATTTTGGATATAACGTGGACTATGTAATGGTATAATTGTTGAATGAAACCTTTGATTTATAGCAAATTTAATGTTCTTTCCAATGATTTTAACTATAACTCTCTAAAGTAATTGGTTAAGTTTTTATTACATAAATTGTGGAGCAAAGTCTAATAAAATAAGAAAAACACAAAATCCCCCAAAACAGCCAAACGGTCGAAAATCGGACATGGGTTTATAGGAACTTTTTTGTTCCTTTTAGTGAGTAGAACCCACTGGCGAAGTTAACACGGTCAGTAGAAACTCACCCTGTATAACAAAGAAAAGTCTGGGTATTTGTAGTAAACATTAAATAAAACTTTGTTTTTGTTGTAAATTTCCAAGTTTTCTTATAAATTGTAATGATCTGATGGCATTGTTTGAAACAAAAATCTCAAAAAATCAAAAGACATCTAGTTGTCAATGTAATATTGAATTTGACCTTGATTTAGTTTGATAAGGTCTATTGTCTATTGTCTATTGGCTATAACATAGCCATTTTAGGAAAAATAGTTTTTGCAGCAAAGCCTCGGTAACACAATTTATGATCACTGTTATCGTTAAACTGAAAAATATCATCTAAATAGTCCGTGACTAACTAGTGCTGCTAGTTGGCGTCAGCTTTAATACCGGGTTTTGACTCATCAGTCTCCAAGCACAGATAGCCGAGGAGGCTAGGGCGTGTGTCAATTGGCCAGTGGCATTCGTTTGCTCGGGTTCGATTCCCGTCCTGTGTGGCAAATAATTGGTGACCTGTGTGTTTGTAGCCATATACAACAACCACTGGGGCATAGTGATGTGTTCATAATCCTTGGTTTAGACATACACCTCGAATCATCGGATTGGGCGAATCTTTTCCTTACTACTTTACTTTACTTGTTTTGTTGTTTGTTTGTTGTGTTGTGTTTTTACTTGTCTGTAAATAATTTATGGGAAATAAAATATTATTTCATTTCATTTCATTTCATTTTTTTAGCTAAGTGGTTGTTAGTTTATCCTATAAACATGCAGGTCACCAATGGCCGTTTTGCTACTTTTTATTAAAATTACCTTTCTCTCTATATCCCTTAGAGATTTTAGTAAACGCTGATATATCTTTGCATAGCACTCAAAGGGTTAAGTGAACTTTTTTATTTATATTTTTTTCCAAAAAATTTATTACCTGAGAGAGCAGCTCTGTATTGGTTGAAAACTCCTCCACCCCATGATCCTCCGAGTGGTCCCATTACGTCTTGATGTGGACTATCTGAAAAAATATTACTCAACGTAAAATACTAAAAATAGGTTCTGAGCTTTTCAAATATCACTTTGTAGATCTGTAAGAAATACACGTTATTTCCAGGAAGGTACCTAAAATTTATTTAGGATAAACATGAGTGAAGGGATTCTGCCGAATGATCTACAAACAGTCAAATTGAACTAGGAATGACTTTTGGCTATGGATTTGTCATTGGTCGGCATATTTCTTTTTAGGGTGGTTCTTTGTATAATACAATTTTTTTGGAGATTATTGCATGTTAGGGGAGGTTTTTGCTGTATCCAAAAATTTCACTCAAGGATGTCGATCAGGATTGAGAATAGGTTTGGGTGCAACTCCATCGAACTAATTAGAAGGGCTAGGTCACGTTGTGTTTGGTCTGATCTTATATTTAATGTATATACCTAACGTAACTAGAATAAGAAGTTGAGTTACAAATTTTGACTTGGTCTCTTAGCAAAATTCGCAAAAGGTGATGATGATTATTTATGAGTGAAGGTTCCGTACCAAAAATATTTCAATGCGTTAAGTCCACCTTGAGGTCTGTCCAGCATTCTCATGATTTTTAGAAAGAATGAAACTATGCATAAACGGCAACATGCGAGTCAGCTAGTGTTGTTATTATCCCCATCTTGATTGAGTTGGAGAGGATTCGTCAAGAAGAACTAAGGGTTTTATAAATACACAAAAAAGTAACACAAAAGCTGAAATTTTGTCCTAATATAGAACTTCTTCAGAGATTTCTATTAACTTTTTATATTAGTAGTACTGATCCTGAACTTTCAGTTCTTAAGATAACCAGCTGAACTAATCTGCAAAACCTTAATCAGCCATATTCTTTTTACTGAAATACATAATAAATAACTAAATGTATCATTGCATATACCTATTTATAGCAACAGACCCTTAATCGGATCCAAGTACAGCACAAATACCCCAAATTTTGATTGCTCAATTTCAAGCATGTTGGCAAAACCTCCAAACAAAATGTTGTTTAAAATAAACAATTAGATAACATACCAAGTTCCATGACTACCGAACCTTCCTTAACGAACGCAAGATCCTAGAACGCACCAAACACATATGTGCTTTGAGTAAACACTAACACATTTCTTATGCTGCATCATGGTTTCTTAGAACAATTAGTGAGCCAACAATGGGTTCATCAACTGCCAGTAATCAAGGCATTCAAGGCCATGAACAGCTGTTCCCAAACATTTGTTCTCTAATTAGATCAAAGTTGTACAAGGCTTTAAGATGTATTATCTGATGACAGTGAAAATCATCAGTTAGATTTAATTAGTAAGTATGCATAACAATGAATGTTTACCAAAAGGTGTTTTGAGTAAGTTTGATCAACGTCAAAATATTTGCCTCAGTTTACGAAGGGTGAAGAAGTTGGAGGATTAATTCCCCTACAGTCTTGTGTGTCTGACAATACCAAAACCTTGCTTGTCTTGTGTGATTGTTGGTATTCAATTATTACCTTTTATATAAAGTTTTACTGATAGTGTTTTGGACTGTTATTGATTGGCGATCCCAAAACACAAACGGTTTTTTTGTTGACTACAAACGGTGGTATGGATTTTTACAAAGCTATAGACACCACCAGATGTCTAATTTCAATGGAATTTGGTATGTAGGAAATTCTAACTTTATAAAGTATTCCTATTTGTAGTATGTGAAAAAAGGACAAGAGTTAACAAAATATGTGGTAATTTTTTACCGATCCATTTTCCTCCATCAAACTTAATTTTTTAACAACCATTTCATCGGATGGGTTAAAAAATTGTCCATCGGTTATTTCTTTACTAAATATAACTGTGTCAATCCATTCAAACAGGAAGCGGCTTTTTATGAAGTTAAACAATTGAAAATCTTATACGTAAACAAAGATTTTGGTGAAGACCTGCAAAACTATATTCTAAAAAGCATGACTTGACAAAGCAAAAATAAACATTACACTACCATAACAAAGTTAATACCTCGAAACAAGAAATATAAATTAACAGAGCAAGTGTTTTCCTTAACTTAGAGCAGTCCTTGTTTAAACTATCATTACAGTTTCTAAATTTTAAATTGAAAACACTTTGTTTAAACTAACAATTAGGTTAAGCTAGTAAACAAAAATAAAGTCAACAAGAATGTAAACACTAAGTTCACCATATGTTACCTTTATCAAAAATACCTGCACTACATTCACATTAAAATGTGTTCACTTCATACTACAAGATGGTGGCTTGTCAATCGACTCCTGATAAAGCTGTATACCAGCTGTTGTTATCTTTTATCACAAGTACAGCATTAAAAGCTCTTAAAAGTTTAATCACCTAAGCTTGAATTTGCATATGCCTGCTATTAGGACATCATGCATATTATATGCTTTTGTGACATTTTCAAATTAAATAATCTTTGGTTTAAAAATTGGATTATTTTTTAAAAGGGACACCAAATTTGGTTTGTATTATAAGCTGAATATGAATATGAAAGCATGGTGAGAGTAATGAAGTGAGTTAATCTGTGTAGCTTTGTGACTGACTGATATCAGCCATAACCGTCTCAGGAATTGATGTACCTGGTTAATCTTTAAAAAAAAAAGATTGAAATAGTTAAAACAACATACAGTAGATAAAAATCGACTAACGTTCGCAAATGTAGTTTCGTTTAATTCTGTACATGTTTAAAGCTTATTCAAGCTCATTTTCAGCAGCATTAATAATTCATACTATTCACAATAAATCACATCTAGCGATGTTGTCAGGTGTTTACAAACACTTATATACTCAGTATGCCTATGAATGTCATCGGTTTTGATAGCTCAGTGTATAGAAGAATGTGTAAATAGCGGCAAAACTAAACATTTAATGTTTATTTCTATTGTATATATATATATATTAAATACTTTATTAAGTATATTAAGTATAAAATATACAGCTTGAGTATTTAAAAAAATTATAAACATTTGAAAGTTTGTTGCTTTGAAACATGTACAGGATGAAACATAACTACATTTGACACCATCTAGCAAACAAGCAGATTTTCATCTGTAATTGAATATTAGTCAAGGCTGTTCAAATTCAATACATTCAGGTGTTTTTCGATTGCCCTTGGCTATAGATACAAAACCATTCAAAACTATGTATTAGACAATCCATTCACATACTTACATTATAACCAACTTGGGAAGAAAACCCTTATTTCAATTGAACTGGTGTGCTAGACAGTTCTCATTCAAATGTACCGACTTTTCATATGAACCAACTTTAAGCAAAGTAAAAAGTTGGTGAAAACAAAAATAATACCCCCATTGCAGCAACCCTGCAGACTAAGCGAATTTCCATCTACTCTGCTGGAATTCCACAAAATTATTCCTTAAAAATTGTCAGATTTACTTCCATATCATTAATTTTGATGAGTACTTAGGTTTGCTGCTACAGTGGTGGAAATAGGGGGTTTTTTTATTGAAATATTGATAGCTTAGTATGAAGTAAACAAAATATCAAAATTTAATCAAAATATGACCATAGACAAGCAAGCTACACCAGTTAATTTAGTCTCCATAAGAACAACATGGTATTTTAAAATTTAGACTTTTTTGGGATTTTTTCCGTAACCGTTTGACATATAACAATTCTTCACAATAATAAATTATTTGTTTTTTTTTTAGCTCTACAAAATGGTTTGGAAAAAAATTGCAAAATCTTATGTATACTGGTTCGCAAACTAGTTTGAATAAATGTAGGTTTACACATTTATACCAAATTTCATCAAAATCGGATCATTTTTGCTCGAGTTATCGTGCTAACGGACACATATATAAATATATATATATATATATACTAGCTGAACCCGGCAGACGTTGTCTTGCCTTTGACTATTTATAATTTAAGTACCGTAACGTTTAATTGTCTTATTGTATATGAAGTGCTTATAACTAAATTAAAATAATGTACGACAACTAATGAAACACATATAGTACAAAGGATAACCGATTCTTTATTAAATATTATAAATGTGAAAGTTTGTGTGTTTGTTTGTTTGTTTGTTTGTGTGTTTGAAGTTCAATCACGCATAAACCACTGGACGGATTGGGCTGAAATTTGGCATGATGATAGCTTAAAACAAAGTGGCTCTGTAATTCCCCATGTTAACCTTGTGAGTATTCATTTAAAGGGAATTAAAGAATTTAGTCAGCTGTTTCAACTAAAAAAGTTGGTTCTATGATATGGAAAAGCATTAAAAAGTTATAAGATTTACCAACAGGGTGCAGCACTATATTTTTTTGCATTTATGAAAACAGCTAATTTTAACTAAGCAGCAACAAAAAACTGTGATATGCAATGAGAACTGTCAAAGTAGGATTGTTTACAGTTATGTTTATGTTTTTCATTTCATGAATAATTTGTGATATTTTGTGAATTGTTGATAATTTATTTTTCTCTATTGTTTAGGTGAAGTGGTAGAACATTATGGCTATGGTAGATGTGTAATCCTATAGAATACTGTAAATTTAAAAAAGCAAATTTTATCAAACTGTGTCCTCCCTTATTGTAAACGCAAAGCTTGAGTATAACTGCAATAAGCATTTTATACTTATATTCCAACCCCGTACGAAGGACGGGTACTCTGCTAGTTGCTCTTATATTAATGCTAGTGGGTAGACAATATTTTTGGTCTTTCTATTCGGCTCAATCACGTCCTGGTTGAAGTTCGTTCGCTACGCTCACTCACCTTTAGGTTGGAGCTCGTTCGCTACGCTCACTTGCCTTCAGGTTAGCTTGTTCACTACGCTAACTCGCCTCCAGGTTGAAGTTCGTTCGCTATGCTCACTCACCTTTTGGTTGCAAATTAGCTGTTGTCATGAATGTAAAAGAAATAATAGTGCTGCACCCTGTTGGTAATCCTTGTAACTTTAATGCTATTGAACATCATAGAACAGAACCAACTTGTTTAATTGAAACAGCTGTTAAGATTCATTAATTACATTTCTCATAAGGTTAAATGGGAAACTCCAGAGCCACTGGGGTGGAGCCGATTGGACAGATCACGAAATTGATGGTGTATAAACCTATTCCATGAAATTCTACAAGTATGATCCTAGTTTCGTGGCAATCGGTTCAGCGGTGTCTGAATTTATCACTGCCAAATATATATACAAACATCCTCTTTTATACTTATAGATATGAATTTGAACGGACGGTGTTTTTGGCTTCTGGGGACCTCAAAACGAAAAAGTAAATCGGTCCTGGGTCCAGATCTTACCATGAGACCTACGGTAATAGCTACTTTAAAAAGTAGCTATTAAATGTAAATGTATTTAAAGTCCAATCCCTATAGGGAAATTCGCTAAAAGACTCAATGTATTAGAAAATTAGTTGCTAAAATTAATTTATAAAAGTACATTTATAAAAGATGAATGCACATATGCAGACACCCTGGAAATGATTGTGTACACAAAAGAGTTGAGCTCACAGGCTTATTAATTTGGCATGAAAATTAAATCTGAAAAAAATGTGGCAAGGTTGGTGTCGAAATAAACAAAATCTATAGGTTAATCAATCAATCAAATCTTCTATTGTAGTCAGACAATATACATTGTATTACAAACGTCAACTTAAAATACTTCTAAATATAAACAATAAAATAATGCTAATGAAAGTACAAAACTGGTACTATAACACTGATAACACATGAAAGAAAGTAATAAATACAGCGCAGGTGGACCTAGCTTAAAACTTTTTTATATAAATTGGGGATTGGGGTGTTCAAAATTTCAGCAACGGAGTAACATGCGTGTTCTAAAAGGTATTCTTTTAACTTAATTTTGAATTTTGCTTCTTAAATTAAGGATTGTAGATTGGCTGGTAATATATTAAACAGTTTTGGCCAGAGATTTTGAGGTAATGATGCAGCTAACTCCAATCTATGAGATATGAGAGGTTTGTCTATGATGGTGTCTTTGCCTGGCATTATAATAAATATGAACATCTGCACCAGTTACTTTTGTTGTTGATTTAAACCTATAATATAATAGGTAGTATAAGGTCAACTCTAATGCTGTTTTGACACTTTTTTGTTTATATCCTACTAAGTATCCGTGTTGATATAACTGTTGAAACATGAATACATCACTATACTCGGGAAACTAAGAGTCAAAACTTTTGAAGGAAATCTACATAGCAATGATGAAATTGGTCTAGGTTAAGTAACAAATAAATAGCAAAACAGTTACTGTATTTTGGACGATACAAACACTGTGTGTACAATCAATTTGTTTTAGCATTCTGAAGGATGAAAAAGTCATGGAATTTTACACCTCAATGTACAGCAGTATTCCATCAATATCTTTCAGCAATCATAGGTAAGTTAAATATGATGTAAAACTGGTTATGGCTTCACAATTAAATAAATACCTTGTGTACTAATCATAAACACTGATAGGATCTCTGATTTAACTATGTCCTGACTATAGGTAGGACATCTAGAGAGATAAGCCAATGCAGGAAAGAACTTTATTTTGAAAAGATGCTCTAAATTAAGGCAATTTTGTTTATTTATAATTTACTGTATTTCTAAGCTCACCAATAAAGTATAGTACTGAAACAAGGGTATTTTTAATCATTTAATAATTTGTGTATTATGTAGAATATTAATGTATGCACGATAGTTTTAATGATCTGTTATTCTAGCTCTGTGTGTTTTCTCCAGGTAGTTTCAGTTTTGCACTGGTTGGAAATGCAGAAGGTTGGCCGTCCCCAACCCTCCTCAAGATGAGAGACATGGAAACTCCGATGATCTTGGACTCCAGCCAAATATCTTGGATGGTCTCCATGATGTATATCGGACACCTCATCAGTCCAGTGCCAAGTGGAATGTTGATGGACAGATATGGTAGGAAAAGAGCTATCCTCTTATTATCACTGCCTCCTCTTTTCTCGTGGATTTTGATCTGGTTAACATCTTCAGCGAGGTATCTGTACATTGCAAGATTCCTTGTGGGCCTTTGGGCTGGAGCGGTTTCGACAATTATACCCAATTACATCGGAGAGATTGCTTCGCCAAAAATACGAGGCTCATTAACAATGCTAACTGATCTGATGAGGAATTTAGGAGTGCTTCTAGTCTACTTTGTCGGCCATTATGTTTCGTACACAGGTCTTGCTATGAGTTGTGCAATTTTGACATTAGTGTTCATAGTGTCTTTTTCATTCATGCCAGAATCACCATACTACCACTTAATGTGCGGAAAAGAAGAGAAAGCTTATGAATCACTCAATTGGCTGAGAGGGAAAAAAGGGAAAAAGGTTGATATCGAGTTGCAGAAGATGAAGGAAGCCATCGAGCAACAGCTGATGAACAAAGGGTCTTTTAAGGATGTTTGGAATAACAAAGGAAACCGGAAAGCGTTTATCATCTCTGAATTTTACTCTGTGATGAAAAGATTGACAGGTTCGGGTGTTTTACAAGCTTATGTTGCTATAACTCTGCCTTCTCTAACATTTGGGATCTTGAATCCAGACGATTGTGCAATCTTTTTTGGATTAACTGGTTTAACTACTTCATTCGCGACTGTTTTTCTCGCTGTTCATTTCAACCGAAGGTCTCTAATGACTCTTTCTGCAGCTGGTTGTGGATTAACCATGATGCTAGTTTCAACATGGTTCTATCTCAATTCTAACACAAACTACGATGTGGAACCATACAGTGACTGGTTGTTTATTTGTTTTATAGTTTATAATAGTATGTTTGCATTGGGACTTGGTCCCATAGGAACGAGTTTGAGAGGTGAGTTATTTGCTGCAAATGTCAAAGCAATCTGTTCTTCCCTCACAACAATATTAGTTGCAGTCACCTCATTTATCCTAAATAAATTCTTTTTGATAGTAGCAGAATCTTTAGGTATGCATGTAAACTTCATAATTTATACAGTCAGTTGTGTACTTACAATTGTGTTTACATGGGTGTATGTCCCGGAAACTCACGGTAAATCTTTAGAAGAAATCCAAAGAGTGTTAAATGGGGAGAAAATTGGTAACAAGACTGAGAAATTGAGCAAAATCAGTGTTGAACGGTACTAACTACCTCACCACCGTTTTTTAACATTCTAAGATGTTAATTGTTTTATTGTGTCTTGTTAGAGGGACAACACTTAACAATACATTCACCGGCAGAAGGAGACTATAAATCAATCCTACAATCGCAATAGCTGGCTCCCCTTTAAGCTTATATGAGACTTGCTTGGATTAGAGAGTAAGTTTTAGTTTAGCAAAAACAGATCAATAATTAATTTTACCAATTGGGTTTAATTTCTTTTATAAGGTTTTCAAACAGGCCCGCGATTAGCATGTAGCCCGCTAGAGGCCTGACAAATAAATACCCTTCCTCTTCCCTTTTTTGCACTTCCAACAAAGCTAAACCTCTTGTGCCCCTGAGCCCAGACCCATTTACAGAAGCAGTTGTATTCTTTTAACTGATTGATCCATCCCTCTCAGATATCAATACTTTAATGACGTATGGTTGCTAGCTTGTACCAATATTGAGCAATTCTCCCCCACCACGAATTCGAGCAATTTAGATAAATTGTACCCACCATTAGAATATAGCTGCTCAAAAACAAAATGCACCCAATTAAACTCATGAATACTTTGTTGTATAGGTCACTTTCTGTAATAATGTATATCTAGAATAGAATAGAACAATTTTATTGTACAACTTAGTTTTACATTTTACAAACATGTATTTACAAGCACAAAAAGACAATGATCATCTGACCGTCAATCAGGTTGGCAAAGTCCACTTTTCACTACATCGTTATGACAATCATCCTCTTACCAAATAAATGAAGGTATCAATGAGTATAGCATTACACATATAAATAAGTCAACCCTATGCATGTCATTATTTTCCAAATGCTGAATTTGTGTCACACACGCTTAATGTTTACAGCTGTTACTTTGCAAATAGTATTATACCAAAAGCTAGTGTAAAATGTTAGCGTCTGCTAGACTTTTCAAAATTTTTAACTTATTTTCAAAAAAACTGAAACCCTAAACTAAAATAATGGCTTCGACATTCCCTAGTTCTCAAAATTTATTATCTTTCTTTCAACACAAAAAAAATCCGTGAAAATCCGTCAAGTGGTTGATTTAGAATCGTGAAATAAATTAGTATAATGTTCAATGTACTGTAGTGTCCAGTGAGCTTTAAGTACAGCTTATCACGTTATAGTATTCATTCTGATAAATGACTAGGTACTAGGTATAAATGACTTTATAGGCTTACCTCCGTCAGTAGTCCAAATTGTGTCTAACTTCAAATAATAAATTTGTTCAAAGCTGACATGTTTTGTTGCAATGCAACATTGTCGGAGCTTTACGTCAAAAATTTCAAAATAATTTACACATACAGTACATAAACACGCCTTGGGACACAGGACATTTAGACTGTTATCATAAATAATTGATTGATTGATTGATAATACTAAAAGAGAGTAATACTTTATAGGTTTATAGGCTAACAGTTATCTCTAAAGTTTGTGATTCTTATTAGCTTTATATATAGACTAGCTGTGAGTACCCGTTCTTCGTACGGGTTTATTCAAGAATAAGGTTACAAACTTTTTGTAATAACAATGATTAATTTATTTTAACATAATTTAGTACATAAAAATACATTAAAAAACTTAAATCTTAAAAAATATTCGAAAGTTTTAAATAACAAAGTTGGCAAAGATAGCAGAGTTGAAGCGCTTAACATTTGTCACAGCGAAATTACAATATCAAAATTTCAAAAACAACAAATGACATACATTGAAAATAAATATTAAATAGTGAAGAAAAACAAAAAACACAAAAAATTAAAAGGTTGCCTAACTTAATGCCTCTTCATATACTATATTAGTGGTTCGACCGCCTGGGGCATGTATGTAAAGGTTGGTTGGCGATCGCACTCGGCTGCACGCCACGTACAGCTGTCCGTGTGAAAAACATTGCGCGTCACCTAGTTCAATCCCTGCTGTTGACAGTGTCTGACCTTGCGATTTGTTGATCGTCATGGAAAAACATGGATTTAAGGGAAATTGCAGGCGCTTAAACTCAAAGGGATAGTTGCTTGGGATGAGGGGGATCCGGGGGACAAACACCACTTCTCCCGCACCACAGCCTGTTAGAATTTCGGCTTCTATGACATTTCGCTGGAGACTTCGAATTCGAAGCCGAGTCCCATTGCATAATTTAGGAGGGTTTAAATTTCTTAGAAGCATAACGGGAATACCAATTTTAAGATTAAGTTCGTGGGCGGGTAGTCCAGGTGCTGTCACCGAGTCAAGAAACTCTGCCGGGTAGTGCACTGCGTCATCATTTCTTAGAACTGTGTTCACCGACAAATATGTCTTGTCCTCGCTTAGGAATAGGGACATCACTTTCTTATTTATCTTTGTTGAAACTTCATTTTTTGGAGTGAGAATAGCCCTATTGCATAACCAGGCACTGCTCTTGTTTGGGAGGTCTTCAATTCCTGGATAGACTTTCTCGATGAGTTCATCTTGGGTTTGAACAATAACACCAAGAGAAGGTGGTATATCGATAGTTCCATCAACGTTACCCAGCTTTCCATCTCCCAACTTTAACAGAACATTGGAGAATTCTTCCACCTCATTTCCAATATTGGCCCGCATGTTCTTTGTTAACGCCAGTTTGTTCATTATTGGCCATAGGGTAGATCTTTTCATAGAGGCGTTAATTTCATCCGCCCTTGTGCCTCTCACTACAACTGGCAGAGTTTGGCGGAAGTCACCAGAGAACAATACCGTCACTCCACCCATGATCTTATTACTGTTCCTCATATCTTTGAGTGTTCTGTCGAGGGCCTCGATTGTCAGTTTATTGGACATCGTACACTCGTCCCAGACTATTAAGGAGGCTGCTTGTAGAACTCGTGCCATGGGAGCGCTCTTCGATATAGAACAAATCGGGATGTCCATATGCTCTACATTTATTGGGATTTTGAACATGGAATGGGCAGTTCTTCCACCTGGCAGAAGGGTTGCTGCAATGCCAGAAGAGGCCACAGCAAGAGCAATCTTACTGTTTGATCTAACCTTTGCGAGAATCAGCTTTATGAGGTAGGTCTTTCCAGTACCTCCAGGAGCATCAAGAAAAAACATCTTGTTTCTTTGTCCATTTATGCTCGTCAAAACTTGCTCATACACTTGGCGCTGCTCCTCGTTGAGAGTTGGCGTACACTGTTCAATAAACCTAATGAGTTCGGGATGGTCGTAACTTGTCTCTCTGATATAATCATGGTTTAACTGATTGACATCTATGGCTGGTACTGGTAAGTTGTAGCTTTCGAGCCCAAGTCCTCCCATGCGAGTGATTGTCTCTTGAATGCTTGCTAGGCACTGGTCATATATGATAGGATTGTTTTCAAAGGTGGTGTTAATGTCGACTTGATGTGCAGATCTCAAAAAGTCCTCTGAGAGGGAATCTCTGAATCTGATCCAGAGCTCAAGAGGGTTGCTCACATTGCAAAATACTAATAAGACACTGAAGAGATCCCTCAACTTGGTGGGACTGTCAGAAACAGCAGCTTCTGCAAGAGTGCCCTCCCAGCACGCATCATCCTCTAGTAAACCAAGGGCACGGCATGCGGATTGGAAATTTGGATGGAGCACACCATCAACAGTCTTGAGATCCTCAAAAGATGTTGGACCTCGAACAGTGTGTAGGAGGAGTCGGAGATGGTAACGCTCACTGCAGCTTGGATGGACAGTGTACACCCTACCGATGCACGGATCTTGTCTCACGTCAGGATGTCCTGGTACTGGTTGTCCTCTCCGCCTCCTGGACCAACCTCTTTGTTTAGAGTATGTGTAATAATAGGGCAACTCGTTGTAGAGGAGGGTTCTTGAAAAGGCGTCCGTCTGGCAGAGATTGAAGAAGGCCAAAAGAGTTGTACTTTGGTCCATTCTTTCCCGAACATTGCCTGGCTGGAAATATACTCTTTGCTCATTTGGAAGGTGGACCTCTAAATGCAACACAGCGGGAAACCTCTCATGTATAGGAAATGATAAAATTCTCCATACCGCCTCAGATGTGCATATATACCGACCACTTTGGTACATTTTAATTTCGTCTGTGTCATTACTTACTGCAAATGTGGCCTGGTCACTGCCCTTGTTTATGTACTTGCAGATGTACTTTATAGATTTTACACTGCTACAGTACTCAACGTTAACATGTGTTAGAAATGTTCGGGACAATACAGGCGAGTAAGGTACTACCCATCGGTTGTCCATAGGGATTTCATCGTTACCTACTCTGATTAGGACATGATGGCCTCCATCATCTGGGGAGCGCCTTCTGTATGTTGGGTATCCATTGTCTCCTGTTGCCGTTTCATTGACAAATGGTCTAGGGTATCTTTTGCTACAGTGACCATCCTTCATACAGGGAAGCTTGCGCTGTCGCACATTAAAAGCTCCGCATGGTCCGTGCAGCATGTGAGTCTTGACTATATCTGCAAGTTCAGGATCAGTTTCAGGATTTGGAAGCTCTGCAGAAATGACTTGATCTATTCTATTTGGAGGAATGGATTCTTCAAGCCAAATCAGGATATGAGCGTGTGGAAGACCACGTTTCTGCCATTCAACAGAGTACATGTAGCAGCGAACTGAGCCATAAATCTGGCCTTTCATAAGAACAGCAATCATACAGTTAAGCTTCAAATGAAAAACTCGTGATACCACATCATACCGGTCGTGAGCAGACTGCCTTTCTCCAATTACACTCGTGATTTCTATCCATTTTGGATTTGTTGTCATTGTTATGAAAAGTTCTGGACGACCAAACTTCCGAACATAGCAAAAGGCGTCCTGTGTGCGAGAATGCATATATCTAGGACCTCCAGTGAAGGTGGCAGGTAAAATTATCTTTTGCCCCATTTCTTCTACGTTGTCGTCTCGTCTTAAAGCGTCTTGAAGGTGTATGTAATTCTCTGCTCTCAGTTCCTTTTGGTGCGTACGAAGATACAGCAGCCTTTCACTCTCAACTTTAGCGTACATGTCCACCAAGTACTG